GTGCTTTATTAACACCTGCTGACTGACTAATCCTACTGGAATTCTCTCCTCTACACCTATACCTTAAAGAACCCTATTCATCCTTTAGACGCACATCAAATGTTATGCCCTCACTAGGGTATTTATGTCCTCATCACCGCTGTCCAAAGTTCAGATCAACAAAGTTTTGAGCACCTACTAGAGAACAGGCATGCACTCGGCCATGGGGATGAAATGGTAAACAGGATACGGTTACCATCCCTGTGGCATTCACAATCTAATGGAACTTCACAAACTAAGTGCTTTCTTCACCCTCTGAACTTCTGTAGTAATTAGACTATATAATTAATGTGATAATGAATCATGGCATGCCTTGTAACATCTCTTCTATTGTATCAAAGTATAATTTGGTCGCTGTTGAACACGCTGTCACCCAGCGATGCAGGCTATATGCGGAGAGAGCCAGGTTGTACCTTCCCCACTCTTCATTTGCTCCTCTGTGGATCCTCACATGTCTGAGACACGAAAAGTGAAAGGTTAGAGGCCAAGAATCCTATTCTTTCCCGGTGCTGGACCCTCTACATGAAAGATTTGCATGAGCCCTCTTTATAAGGAATTCAAAGTTTGGAAACTTAAAGGTATATATTTTGGAGACTCTAATGTTTTCTAAATAAGCTATATTTGTATGCCAAATATGATGAAATTAGATAATATGTGTAAAAATGCTTTGTAAAGTGCTCTCTCTATATATATACATACACAAACAACATAGACACACACACACAAACACACACACCAAGTATAATTTTGGTGCTACTTAACTTTCCAAAGGTCTAAGTATTTGCTGCCCAAATAGACTATAAATTCTTTACGGCAGGAGTCATGTCTTATACTTCCGTTCTCTCTCCCATGACACCTGAGCGAAGAGCCTCTGTTAATAACAGAAACATTTTCTATGACCACTACACATTTTTAGTTCTAGACTCAGTAACTTTGCCTTTCAGAAATAAATTTTTTTGTTCTGAAAACCATCAATGTTTACTCTGGATTACTAATAACAGAAACATCTTTTAAATAATTCTATAGAAGACAGGTTTGCTACTGCCATTCTAAAATCAGAAGGAAAACCAAGTTTTTCATCTGGGCTTCATTCTCTGTAGAAATAACACTGGAACAAAAATTCAGAGGTAAGAATTTAAGCATGGAAACTCCTACTTAAACCATTGCATCTTTTAATATCTGTAACTAAAATGTACCTGTCATGTCCAGGGAACACATATTCCCTTGAGGAAGGCTAGCATGGACTCTTCTAAGAGCTAGATTTTTATAGTATCCAGCGTTAAATGTAAACTGCCCACATTAATTCATTAAGAAAGTAAAAATAAATCAACGTAAACACGAACATCCTCAGAGCAACTTATTCATCTTCTACATTTGAACAGGATGCATCATCTTTTCATCAAAACCATTTAGGTAAAACCAAAGCAAAACAAAAAACCCATTTAGGTTAACATTGGCATAAGGAAAACACGAATTCCTTAAATTTCCTAATCTGAATTTTTATTAATTCCATGTTAATTTGACACTGTAGCATATGATGATTTTAGAAATGAGGTGCTTAAGACTAACAATATTTTAAATAAAACAACAAAACTCTTCTCTTTTGTGTGTTACCTTCACGTCTAGAAGTTTCCTTCTGACTGAGATTTAATAGTAACTCATCAAAAGACCACTGAAAAGATCAGAAATCCTGAAGTTACTTTTAGCTTTTAGAATAAAAAGTTGATTTCATTAGTTATCTGACCTTATTCTGTCAGAACCATCCATTCCACCTCTCCAAAATGAGTCACGCCGCGGTCAGCTTCAACTAGAAGCGTTTCTCCCACTGGCCCACTGAGTTCAAAGAAGTCTTGGCAGGTAAGAATGGGAATTCTACCTAATTTATGTGTAAGAGAGGAAGTTCAGGCAATGATTGAGAAACTGAGGACAGGAGTCCTCCTCACCCACAGGGGATACATTCCGAGACCCCCAGTGCACGTCTAAATAGTACCGAACCCTAGATGCGCTATGTTTTTCCCTATATACACACACCTATGATAAAGTTTACTTTGTGAATTAGGCACAGTAAGAGATTAACAACAATAACTATAATAAAATAGAACAATTATAGCAATATGCTGTGATGAAAGTTATGCACATGTGGCCTCTCTCGCTCGAGATACCTTATCATCACCCTTCCTCTTCTTGTGGTGATGGGAGGTGATAAAATGCCCACGTGATGAGATGAGGCGAGGGGAATGACGTAGGTGTCGTGACCTAACATTAGGCTATTACTGGCCTTCTGACCATACGTCAGAAGGAGGATCACCCGCTCCCAGACCACAGTTGACCATGGGTAACTGAAACCACGGAAAGCAAAACCAGAGTGGGAGGCGCGGGGAAGAGGGTGGAGGGGTGGCGGTGGGTGAATGACAAGGTAATGAAAGCATGAAAAAAAGAATGCACGAGCAAAGACAATGTTAGATATTATATCAGGGCACAACTCAGAGCAGCTCATTTATTCAGCTTATTATTAACAAATAATAAAAATGCAGACTCTGGGTTAATGAACTTAAAAATCTCACCTATGTGTTAATGCAGAGAGCCCACGGCGGGCCACCAGCATTCCCACGATTCTGTAATTACACACCAGCAGGTAGACTCATACTGTGACTACATGGATTTGTTTTAACAATTAACAAAGAAAAGCATCTCAAAATCTCCTTACCCAAGTTATTTGTCAGTGGCGTTTCTAATTTCAATTATCACGGACCCCTGCTTTTACACTTGGTTTCTCAATACAAAACAAAGAGCCTCCTGAACTAATCTCCCCAAACTAAATCAAAATGGTTCTAAAGTCAAAATCAAGAACCAAGGAAGCATAAAAAAATTTTTAACCTTTTGTCAGTGAAGGTAGAACACAGCTATAGAAGAAAAAGAGGGCCTTCTTTTAACCTACTACCCTAATCAGTAATCCAAGGAACCCTACAATCACATCTGTGGCAGGCTGCATAAAAGCCACTCAAAAGACACCCACATCCTAATCCATGGAACCTGCGAATGTGGTACCCATGTGGTAAAAGGGACTTCTGTAGATGTGACTGGGTGATGGGGAGATCATCCTGGGTTATCCGGGATGGCTCAATGTAATCACAAGGGTCCCTCTAAGAGGGAAGCAGGAGGATCAGGCTAGGAGTGGGAGATTTGACAATGGGAGCACCAGGCGGCGTGCTGTGAAGAAAGGACCAGAACCAAGGAGTGCAGGGCCTCCGGAAGCTGAAACCGGCAAGGAGATGGATTCTCCAGAGACTCCAGGTGGAACCAATCCTACAAACAGCTTGATTTTAGCCCCATAAGGCTCATTTCAGGGGCTCGCTTCGGCAGCACACATACTAACACGGGGACGGTAGAGAGGGTTAGCATGGCCCCTGCCCAAGGGTGACACGCAAATTCGTGAAGCGTTCCATATTTTTTCATGATGAGCCCTGAGTGATGTACGGAAGTGTTGAATCACGACCTGTGTATCTGCAACTAATATAACCTTGTATGTTAACTATACTGGGACTAAAATAAAAAATGTAATAACATTTTTAAAAAAGAAAAAGAAAAAAGACTCATTTCAAATTTCTGACCTCTAGAACTGTAAGATAATAAGTTGTATTGTTTCAAACTACTATGTTTGTGGTAATTTGTTACAGCGACAATAGGAAATTAACACATTTTATTATACTTTTAAGGACTGTGAAGCTTAGTAGATGTTATTACCATTAATTGAATTGAAGCTACAGTGAAAAATTACAGAAGAGGGTTTGAAATTGCCAGTCTTTCCACACTACCCACTTGTCTGGGAACTGCTAGCATCTAGAGAGCTTTGGGGAATATAAAACAGACTTAAGGACAAAGGAAAAATGTGATTTTATGTAAGAGAAAGAAAGCATTTAATTCCTGCCTACCATGCACTGGGCAAATGAAGGACTCAAGGAGCTTACAACTATGAGAAAGTACTAAGCAACAGTGCATCCATCAGCCGAACGTAGGTAACTAAAAAGTTCGGTGACATTCCAAGGATGTGAAAGTAGAGCCTGGAAAGACTTATCTAGATTTACCTACACAAAACAGTCAGTAGAATCACCAACCTGAAAGGGTACAAGTAGGTACTTTGACCTGTAATATAACATAAATCTGAACCCTCAACTCCCACCCTTTTAAGGAGGGAAGTCCTTAGAACTGCTTTTTTTACCTTGACTTTCAAGGCAATTCTATTCTAGCTGTACTTCAATTTTCTATAGGAGACGCCCCTTCCCTTTTTACCTGCGAGACGGGGGACACACAATGCAGTACTGAAAACTGTCAGAAAACAAAACTGGTTTCTTTTCATGTTTCTACTTTCTGTCTAGACTGCAGTCACTTTCTTCTATCAATAGGTGGTGAGCTTGTATTGGTTAGGCAAATGCTGATAGTTTATTGAAAGTGAAGTAGGAATAGAGTGAGGCAGTGAAAAGTGCTTTTTAGGCACCCTCAGATGAGCAGACGAGTGAAATCTGAGGACATAAAGAGATGGACTGCCTTTAAACCGATGTAAGATCTGCTCTTCCTAAACTATCATAAAACCACAGTCTTCAGCAGTGACATAAATCAGCCTCCTCAAGTAAAGCTGACAGGGCTTACAAGCTTAGCAGTTGTTCTCTCCACTTTATTCTATCCTTTATTCCTTATTATTTAAGAGACTGTCAACAAAACTGAGAGAATTTTAAATATCACCTTTTTCCTTCTTCCTCCCCAGCCTAGTTCCATCCAATACTACATGAAAAAGAACATAAATGTGTTTTGAAAGTTTATCATTTTCCAAGCCACACACACGTGCAAATCTTTCATTTTCCAATACCTCTTTCTGAATAGATGGAAACAGACAATCCCTTGTTTAAGAACCTTGAAGGAAAAGCTCTTTTGTTCCTATTTCACATCCTCAACGCACTTCTCACCTGCTATTTTAATATTCAGATTGGCATCCAGAAGCAAATTTTCAGCTTTTAGATCACGATGAACAATGTTCCGACAGTGACAAAAATAGACGGCTGCCACAATCTGTTTGAACTTCCGACGGGCCTCCTTCTCGGCCATTCTGCCATGGGCCACCAGGTGGTCTGCGGTGAAGAAGAGCACAGTGAGTTCTCATTTTGCACATGGGCATCGCTTCAAAAGATGGACTCCAGAAGGGATGCCAGGGGGCCACCAGATGAACAGTTGAAGAAGTGAAACAAACAAATGGCAACACTTGGGGCCCTGGTCTGTGTCTATAGAAACCCATTAGCAAGCAGTCCCCAGACTGTTTTCAGTGTACATGAGCATGCACAGGACTACCTATGCTCTACCGTAAGAAAAAAGAGTTCTGAGGGTTATCATGGTATTTTTGGAGAATCATCGCACTCAACACCTCCTCTCTCTTATCTCCATTGCATGAGATTACATACACACAGCAAACATAAGCATGAAGATAAGAATCAGCAATATTTCCTGTGCTAAAGGGTGAGTCAAAAAGCAGAGTCACAATAATCAATCATTTTGGAGAAGAACAGACAGAACTTAGTCACTGCTAAGGGGGAAAACGGCTTTATAAAGGAGCCCATCTATGCTAATCTCTCTTCTGCTTTCTCAAAGTTTTACAGTTTAACATAAAAATGTACTTATTTGGTGACGATACTCTGGAATGCATAATAATATGCCTGTGTCTTTCCATCTGCATTTATGTGCTTTTCAATTATTTCTTAAATTGTTACTAATTTTTACAGGCAACATTAGAAAACAAAGGGAAGTTTCTACCACCTTCAGTGAAATTATTTCATTGGCAATGTGGCTAACTAAGCTACAGCAAATTAACTTTGTAATACTATAAATCAAGCTATCGTCCATATTTAAAAATGAACTGATGACCCAGAGCCAATCCCATTAATTTCCAATTACCAATACCAATACAATTAAGTATTTTTTCTAATAGTGGCTAATCCTAAACCCCAGTTCTTCATCTAACTAATAACATATTGAGATCATAACAGCTGATGGGATGAGGAACACTGGCAATATGACTTGCTCTACTTAAAACTTCCTATCCTTGGGGCGCCTGGGTGGCTCAGTCGGTTAAGCGTCTGCCTTCGGCTCAGGTCATGATCTCAGGGTCCTGGGATCGAGCGCCGCATCGGGCTCCCTGCTCAGTGGGGAGCCTGCTTCTCCCTCTCCCACTCCCCCTGCTTGTGTTCCCTCTCTCGCTGTGTCTCTCTCTGTCAAATAAATAAAATCTTAAAAAAAAAACAACAACTTCCTATCCTTAAACTAACTCATCTAGGTGGGAAAAGGACACATTTGCCATCATAAGCATCCAGAGATAGTGGGAAAGTGAGAAAACCAGATAATATAAATAGGTGTATTACTGTTTATCAAGAGTAGTCTCAATAATCCTACCCAACTGTTTGGGCACCATGGAGATCACCCACAGGACCAATTGGATATATCTGTTCTTCATCACAAAGAGAAGTCTGCGAGAAGACACATGCACTAGTAGTGATACCAAGATTCAGGGCTTAGAACAAGAAATGGGGGTAGGGCATGATGAAGGGGAGCCAAACGACAATCCATCTAACAGCAGATTTTCAAATAATTCAAACTACATTCTGACCACAAAAAGCATACAATTTGGGAGATCAATACTACAGCAATTTTAAGAACAACGTCTTACAGGATCACTTAAATTATTAAGAAAGACCCTTCAACGGAATTACTGCAATTGTGTTATCAGTGGCTCCTAGACCAGTTCCTTGAAGCATTTTCCTCAAAAAGAATCCCTGATTATAGCCAAGGTGACCAAGGTAGTAGGGGAAAAAAAAGAGAAAACAGGAAGTCTTCAGCTTAGAAGTTAAAAGGACTAGAACCCCACTTTGTACAGGAGTTCAGAGGTAGTGATGAACGAGCGCACACTCTGGTGTATTTACGCTTCTGGTGAGATCTGTCAAATGAACTTTAAATAACACAAAGTCCCTAACCAGGGAGAGTCACTTAATACAAGCTGTTAAAGAACTGGACATCCATCAAACATGCAACGCTAGGTTTTACTTTAAGACGCCATTCTCTCTAACAGTACCTGCTCCTTTGACCCCCTATTCCTCTTAACCCAAGGCCTAATTATTCTAATAATATGTTTTAGCTGCTAAACTTTGTCTAATTAAAGGGCTTTGAAGAGACAGCTATTCTTGAGAAACATAAAAATAAACCCTTATGAAGGTTTACCATCAGAAGCTCATTTGGCCAAGCCACCCATTAATTAAAATGCCCAAGAGACATTCGTCTGGCAGTAAATACTAATTACCAGAACACATCAAAGAGCTTCTTAAATACAACAGAATGATTAATTCCGTGATTTCCAAAATAAGTGATTTTCTTTTATTAAAAAAAAAAAACTCTTTATATTTTCTAAGTACTTTGTTTTCCTAAAATGACTGGAAAGTTCTCAAAACTGCTGCAGAGGCCAGGAGCTGGTGGAATGCAGCCTAGTCCTGTTTTATCTCCACAATGACACACTGGTTGTCCTTGGACAAATCATTTATACTGCCAATATCCCCACCTCTTGATCTGCTAAACAGAAATACACCCTGTTACACACTGTGGCCAAAGAAAGGATAGCATATTTGGGAATAAACTTGTACTATGATTAAGAATTATCCTATATAACTTTAACTTTCAAGGACATTTAAACAGCTCTTTTTTAAAAAGCCCACTCAGTATTATACAGAGACTATTCAAGCATTTGGCTAATAGGTCCTGAGGTTCTTCAGGATTCATAGTGCTTGAAGGTAATTATTATATACATCAAATGTCACTGTTAACACGGTTCTAGTTAAAAGGTATTTGTGATCGCGGCACGCTGGGTAAAAGAGCTTAGGCTATATATATTTTCCCAAAGACGCCTACAGTATCCCTACAGTTATGAATACAAAGATACACAAATCCCTTTTTTAAAGTGCTGGCTGCAAGCATCAGATCTTTTTTTCCTAGTTACTGTGTCTGATGTTCACGTTTTCTCCGCTCTGGGAGCACTGTGCTCTTCTCCAGTACAGGACCATCTTGGCTCAATGTCGTTCAGACTTTTCAGGCTCTGTTTTTATTTCTGCCCATCTTATTACTGCCGCCACCACCACCCCACCTCCCATCCCTGGTAGTTTGCTTTCAGAGTAAACCCATGGGGGCCAGTGGGTGTGCCAGGAAGCCGGCAGCCTGCAGTGGTTTCCAGAACCCTGCCGAAACTGCCTTTCAGCTGCCCGCGGACAAATGGCTGCTTTATGTTCATGTGTGCCCTCTAGGCAGGCAGCAAAACTTCTGCGAGCTCAAATGTGACGTTTAACTTCCAGCAAAGGAACCCAGAGCAGTCGCCCAGCCTGGACTTAACACAAAGTCACAGCATTTGAATAAATACTGGGGTGATTTCAGAAGGCACATGAAACAAAGCGGCTCCTGAACCACTCAATACTCAAAGTAAAGTACACTGTGAATCTTGTCGGGATAAACCTCCGTTGCAAGGAACTCGAAAGAATTGTTCTGCTTCTTCCAGGCAGCTCAGCGAGCTAGTTCTCCTAAATACTGAGCGCCCTAGAACCGCTATCCTCGGTCCCGAACTCCCCACATGGCAGCCTGGCCCCGCCCCCGAGCCCAGCCGCTCTCCGGTCCCACACGCGCAGCAGCAGCAGCGACCCCACCCCTGAAGCCCCCTCTACAATGCACTACTTGGCTACTTGGCTACTTGGCTACTCTGTTCTACCTCTGCGGCACACTGCAGGTTTCTCTCTATCACAGCTTCACCCCGACCACGTCAGCCAAGACGAGGAGGAGGGGACTCTCAGCTCAATGGAGAAAATGGGTCTCCTGTTTCAAGCTCTTATCAAAAGGAAGGAGTCGACGTTGTCTTTCTCACTTTGCAACTGCCATAAATCACCTGGCACTGGGCTTCTTTAATCTTTCTTATCGGCTCTTCCTCATAAGATAGGAAGAAGCTAGTGACACCAAGGGATATATATATACCTCGCGAGTAGCATTCTTAGAAGGGGAGGGAATGAACTCCAAAGTTTAAAAGTATCAGAGCAAGTGCATGTATAAGGTTTGCTTCAGAATTCCCGGCTTGGGATTCTGTCCTAATCGGACTCAGGAAGAAATATCTTGTGGTACATTTAGATTCTAACCTTTCAAAGGGCAAAAATACACATAAGGCAGTTAACGTCCCTCAACCAGCTTCCCCGGAGTGTCGGAGGCATGCCACTAATGGGACAGTGGTGGGGAGCCAACACTTCTCAAAATAAGTCACTTTTCCACTATAAACAGACACTGTCTCCTTTTGTCTGCTAAGCCTATGACTCTAACTGATCCAAAACACTAGCTGAAAATGAACATTCCCGGACAGGGGGTCACGCAAGAGGGCAGAAACTCTTCATTCTTCATGATAAAGAAATAGCCCAGTCCAGAATGGGAGGAAAGCGGTCTTGTGCGAAGCTTAGGTGGCTACCTGAGAACATTTCTGCCAATTCCAAGCTAACCACAGCAGACAGCTCAGTGCTTTGCCCTCGCTTCTATCATTTCTTCTTTCTACACCCATGGAAACGACTTCCTGTTTATCAAACAAATGCTTCTTTCCAAAAGAGCCAGGGCGAGGCCAAGAGAACTCAGCTGCCTGGGAGCAGGTTAACACAAGGGCCCTCACTTGAGTATCATGCCGTCCCTAACCCGTGCAGACCCGTGCAGGCCCAAAGCTGCGGCTGACTGGAGGAAGGAGGTTTGCTACTTTGTTTTCCTTGCCAAGAATCCAACTACCTCACACCAGCTTCTTTACTTGTTGCTGCTTCTTGTTGAAGTCTTTTTTCTTCATGCTTCCCGGCTTCCAGGCCAAAACATTGTCTCCCCATTCTCTTTCTCCCACACCCACATCCAATCCATCAGCAGATTTTATTAGCTCTACCTTCAAAACACAGCCAGAATTCAACTAGCCCTCACCGCATCTCCAACCCACCCCCATGTCAGCAGCCTAGTCCAACAGCCATTCTCCCCCTCCTGGTTCACTGTATAGCTCGTCCTATTGCTCCTAACTAGGACCCTTGATTCTATCCTTGGC